TTATTTATTTTGTTATTTGTTGACTGATCCAAATAACAAAATTACATTGTTAACACCCATTTCCTGTATCAAAAAAAAATGACCTTAGGGGTTACATAAATGTGCATAGTTAGTATGGTTTAGACTTTCCTCAAATAGAATTGATAGCCCTGCTAAATTGATTGATAGCCCTGTCAATAACATGTTTTTATGAATAATGATATTATATATTGCCTGTGTGTCAGTATTCATAAGTTGTCACAAATATTCATGACTATCCTTTAACATATGCAGAACTACATGGATGTGGTATGTACAGGTGCTTTTTTTTTAATCAAAGGACTTCTCTGATGTTCTGCACCACAAATTATTTTTGAATTTAAGGGCACATTTGATGTCATTATTAGTGAAGTGCACAGTACAATGCATTGCAGCTATTTTTTCCTTCTTAATTTTTTTTTCAGAACTCACATTTTATGTGAATCTTTTGCCAGGATTCACATTTTATGATGTTTTGCTTTGCTTCACATTTTATCATTTACATATTCACATTTCAGCTGTGAAATTAGAATAATATCGATCCTGTAAAACGCATAAACAATTAGTTTTAAAAATGTCAACTTTGAAATAAAACATTTACTTTTAATTTTGTCTGACAGGTTGTTAAAAGTTTAGAAAATGCTGAAAAGAACCCCAAGGCTATTGACAGCTGGATCGAGAGTATCAAAGAGCTGCACAGGTCCAAACCACCACCTACAGTACATTATACAAAGTAAGTGTCAGTGTAAATGATCACAAAATTTATTCATCTTTAGATTAACTTATTCATTGACTTACCAGTTCTGATACTAATTCATACATGGCATTTTGATATAACAGCTTTTTTTTTTAAGATGAGGTCCAATTTTATGTTTTTAATTTTTTTGTTTTTTACACGTGTCATACATTGTAACTTTGTATATTGTTGGATTATGTATTACTCTTCTTTTCCATTGATTTCATATAGAGGGTAAGTGAGGGGAAGAGGTGTTTTGTAAAGACCTTAAGTTTTTTTTATGCTGCATTTTTTACTTAAGCCTTATCCTCCTTGCTAAAAGATCATCGGAATCAGAGAGACATATGCACATGATCTTTTCAGTATTTCTCCTCTTTACCCAATCGCTCATCAGAAACCGTATGTTATTAGTAGATTCTGTTTTCTTTCTGTGACAAAATGTAGATTTTAGTTATCAGATTCCTGGTTAAATTTCATAGCCTAGTCAGGCACTAGTTTAAGTGTTAAAAATTTACACAGGTAGTCCCATAGATGAGACTGATTTATTGACTTTTTTCTTTTGCTTCATGTTTATACAAATTATATAGAACGGAATTCATTCGTGAGGTTAAGTTTCAGCATATCCAAATCCTAAAATCTCTACAAAATGCATGGTAATACTCTCTACCCTTTGTAAAACATGCCATATCTTTTGCTTTATTTATTTTTTTCTGTTTAAGAATTGTTTCATAAAAGCTTAATATTCATTTTGCCAATTGCTTGATTGAAGAGAACAAATTGTATGAGCATGAATGCTGTAAGTTACATTGCATGTAGAGTGTTGTAAGAGTTTCTGTTTAGTTTTCCCCACATCCAGTGCTTGTTTTGTTAAAATTACACATTTCAGCATGTTTCCTGTCTACAGCTTATAACCATGAAATTTTACATCCAGCTAAAGCGGGTTATAACTTGATTTTTCACGTCAGTTAGCTGTTTCTTTCTATAGTATACAGTAATGCTCTTATCCAGATCCCTTATAGTCATTTTAAGAGTACTATCTTCCATCTAGTATTTTTAAAACTATAATGAAATTATCTTTATACAGTCTGTCAATATAAGTCAAGTAGTCACTATTTGAACACTATTAGGCAGTGCAATTGTCTTTAAAAATTCCTGCAGGTCGGCAAGATTGCATATTTTAGTCACATCCCATGGTTTACTTTCGTCCATGTTTGTATAATTTGCTTTTAAATTATATATGGAAAGTCCGTATTTTGATAATAGAGGCATGGCAGTTAATGTTAATTTTATGCATTTGTAATCTTTTAGAATCACACGGACTTTGTTCATTTCTTTAAGCCCAGTATGGTATTTTATAGTTTCTCTCTCTTTTTTTTAATTAACCTAAAGCTTACAACATGCACATCAGTCCATATATAAAGACTTGCAATGGCATTACAGTATAAAATCTTTAAACATTGTTTATATGAAAATATATAAATAGGTCAATAGATAGAGGAATGTTCAATTTGGATTATTATTTCCAATGTCTATATTTGGATGTTTTTTCCCCCAGAAATATGCCAGAGATTGATGCTTTAATGCAGGAATGGCCAGCAGAACTGGAGGAGTTGCTGAAGGAGGTAGGGTCAGGGTTGAAAATTTTCAGGTTTATGTCTGATTTCAGAATTTTCAATCTTCGTTTTGAACTTTGATAGCTTTTTATAATTATTATTATTATTATTTTAATGAACTGAATGTGATGAGAAATTGCAAGCTACAATTTCAGGATTTCCAGTTTTACAATTTTCACCCATGGGATATCAAAATTTGTCTGGAAGTGCGAAAAATTGTTGTTATTGAAAAAACTATATATTATTTAACTTTGCACTGTCCTGAAAGATATGTGTTTTCTGAATTACATATTTATATTTTTCTATAAAATGTCACTAAAACAATTTTAAAAATCTCATTTATTTAGTTATATATAGATGCATAATATAGTACTAAAATTGTTCTCTCCAGGTGAGCCTGCCTCCTGCTGATCTGGACTGTGATCTGGGGATGTATGTGGACATTATATGCTGTGAGTAGGCTGTTTATTTCACCACAAAAATAAATTGGACTTAGCAGGGATATATACCACTATGTCCTAAACTGAATGTTGGTAATTTATTCATCAGTGAAAGCCAGAAAGCTACAATCAAAATAGTATATTTTTTAATGCAATATAACAATGAAAATAATCATTGTTTAAGGAATGGATTATTATTTTAAAGGCAGTGATGAAAATTTTTATTAGAATTTAAAGACTATTCAGTTTGATATTTTTTTTTGTTCGTGATTTAATAGTAATACTTTATATTTTCAGCTCTGCTTGACATCCCAATTTATAAAACTAAAATACAGGCCCTACACGTACTATTCACATTGTACTCAGAGTTCAAAAACTCACAGGTTAGTTTTCTCCAAGAAACAAGTCTATAATTATAACAGTACTAAAAATGCTTGGGTTTAGAAGGTAATCATAAATATATCCAGAAAACCACATTTCAGGCAAATTATTCTGTTTTAAAGATCTTCTTAACATGAAAGCAAAAAAATGATAATAACTTAAAACAGCGGTGTGAGAACAAAAAATGATGGAAATAATGAAGTAAATACAAATGATTGATTAGAATGAAGTTGAAAATAATAATCACATTTTATCTCTCCAGCACTTTCAAACATTGGCCGAAGAGAACAAGCTAGATAATGCACTGAAGCGAGGAGGACCTTTGCCAGATGACGGGGCAGATACCTTGGTGTTATAGTCATGGGAAAGACATGTACCATCAGGGGCATATCGATAGTCTGAAGGTTCATTGATCCGAAAAATGGTATCATTTTCATCGTTTTTTTTTTAATCAAGGGTTCATTGGTCTGTAGGTTCTATAATGAAAATTCGGACTACTGAACCTTCAGACTATTGCTACGGCCTAAATACCATCTTAATTTAATCATATGATAAAACATATTGATATGTTGGAACTATTCAATGTGTAATTCGATTGACCACAAAAGGATCAGATTAAAACTTTGTTTGCACCTGCATTTTACCAGCTTGAACATTACTGGTGTTTAAACCACTTGAAAGTCTGACTTAAAATTGTGGATGCGAATTCTGCCAAGTATGCATTTAGATGCAAAACTATATGAACAGTCAAAGAACAAGAAGGCCACAAAAAAGTATGCAGTTGTGTTTTTGTATTCAAGAATTTTGGAACAACTGGGTGCCACTTAGACTAATGTCCCATAGTGAGATATCTGTGTGACATAATAAATTCTATTGACTCCCCATTGTTATCAGTAAGCACTAAGAGGATTTTAAGATAACAATTGAACCAAAGACAATTTGATTTGTAATTTGCAGTCATCCCATTTTAAAGCTCTGTGTTTTGTCACTATTTTTTTGCTTTCCTTTGTATACCTGTTGTCAGAATGTCTATATGTACCAGATTGATTTATTGTCAATTGATTGGAATTTACTTTGCTATATGAAGTGCAGTGTTGTACCGCGTAACTAAGTTCATGATGGCAGAACATGTCTGAAATTATAAAGGTGGTCATTTCACTTGAAATCTTTATCTCCTGAGCAATATCAGGAATTGAATTGGTTTTATTGTGTATTTTTTTCTTTTTGATTTAATTATTTGGTTATTCATTTGATTAATTATTTATTTATTTAAATTTGAACTACTTGACTGTCAAATATTTTCCTTACATGTATTGGTCTTCTTCCATTGTTTGTGCTATGTCACACTGAGAAGATAAGTAAAATATCCAATGACATGTCCTAGCACAAGTTTTTTTTTTATTTTTTTCAATCTTTACTATCATTTTTGTAGTTGCTAATGTTATTATTAATTATTTATGTGGCAGGATCACAGTGTATGTGTATCTTTTTCTTGACAGAATCGGATTTTTTAAATAAATTTTATTCGAAGTTTTCTTGTTCTCCCTGTGTCTAGACAGCTTGTGTTTTGGGTCACAAAAAATATCAAATACAATACAGTCGTAAAAAAATCCAAACAGAATTTTACACTTAACTGGTGACTTTACTTGCAAAAGAGTACAGTTTGAATCACCCAGCTGTATTAAACTCACAAATACCTGTATGAGTAGATTTCAAAGGTGATAAGTGTAATGAAATGTGATGATTGCGGTAGGTGGGCGTAAAGATACGAAACTACGTGTAGCACAATCTGCTAGCTCTGTAAGCTTTCACTTCCTGTTCCACGATGGTAGACGAAGTAACTAAGAAAACTTTGGGGCAGATTCCCCTGCTGAAGACTAAAGCAGGACCAAGAGATGGTGATCTGTGGGCTCAGAGGTTAAAGGAAGAGTATCAGGCTCTGATTGCAGTAAGTCCGGCGAAATGCCTGTTAGAAGTGCAGAGATTTTCCCTAAAATATGGTAATGTTGAAAGGTGTGTGTATGGGGGGGGGGGCATTCTGGTTAAAATATTACCCCTAATATTCTCTGATTAATGACTCTAATGAAAATTAATTTTAATTTAATCAGTATCTTAGTAGAGAAATTTTTTGAGAGGATGTTTTCACTTCAGTATGTGCAAAAGAACAAAGAAGCTGACAATGACTGGTTCAGACTTGAGTCCAACAAAGAGGGAACACGGTGGTTTGGCAAATGCTGGTATATTCACAATCTGCTCAAGTATGAGTTTGATGTAGAATTTGATGTAAGTATGAAAAAACATTCCAAAAAAATTTAAAAACGTTATTAAAATGTTTTCATAAATGTTATAGAAATGTTTTTTACAATTTTATAATAACATGATTTGGTATGGTTTTAAAAAAGGTTTAAACAACAAATTCGAATAACATTTTAGAAAACGTTTTTAAAACATTGTTATAATATTTCAAGAAAAACGTTTTTAAAACATTATGATAATGTTTTGAGAAAAAAAAACATTTAAGGAAAATGTCATTAAAGCGTTACATTAATGTGGGACAAGGAATTTGCACTTGTTTTTATTCAGCTCCTATAAAATACATAATATACTTGTTGTTGTGTTGTGTCATGGATCACTTTAAGTCAGAAAAGATAATTATTTAACCTACATTTCACCTGTAATTTCCTTATGCTGTCACCCTTGCTTCAGATTCCAGTGATGTACCCCACCACAGCACCAGAGATAGCTATTCCAGAGTTAGATGGGAAGACTGCAAAAATGTACAGGTAAAGTCCACCCTGAGTCAGAGATAGACTACTGGAAACATGCCTCTATTATAACCATGTCCTTGCCGTTTCTGAAAACGTGTGCATTTGTCAGCACATGCATCGTGTGTATGCATGCACTCGGGTAGGGCTAATTTGCTTTTGATTATATCTGAGTCTTTGATAGGCAAGAATCGTTATGTAAGATTGTGTTCTTATTATAATATTTGGGTTCCATCTTTCAGAGGAGGAAAAATCTGCCTGACAGACCATTTTAAGCCACTTTGGGCAAGAAATGTACCAAAATTTGGAATAGCACAGGCTTTTGCACTAGGGGTAAGAAAACATATTTACCTATGCAGGTGCACACAATTTTTCTTCAAGTTAAAAATGCTGTCTATTGTAAAAATCTGAACATTATTTTTTATGGGGGGAGGGGGGGGAGATGATAGCTTTGAAGTTAAATTATTTCGTCTGTCTTACGATGAGAAAATGCGGAAAACAAACATTTGGTAAATTTGACTTAGTTATCTCTATTTCCATGAATGAAATGTTCTTCAGTCTTGTATTTGTAATATCTCCCACTACTTTTATATTCTGGTTGGAGATAGATCAATAGAGATGCATTTTATAATGATATATTTGGGATTTTTATTTTTACTTGTTATAATTGAACCTTCTTTCTTTCAGCTTGGACCATGGCTAGCTGTGGAGATTCCAGATCTTATAGAGAAAGGACTTGTAGTACATAAGGACAAAGCAACCAGCTAGCAGGCATGATCACCCTGAAGCTTAAAGAACTAATTGTCATTTTCTTTTGTATTTAACGTGACCATTGCCAACGAAATGTGACTGTCATTCAGTCAGTGACATTCAAGGTCTCAAAGTCTGTTGCGTTATGCCGAGTTTCTACAAGGACAGAATGGCTTAGGATGTCTTTCTGTGATTTACAGGACTATATCTTAAAGCTTGCATGGAAAAAAAGTTGCTATTTATTCGGTCTTGATGCAGGAACTAACTATGCTGTGCATTTGTCAGCTTGTGCTGGTTTATTTTGTTAGTGCAATTGAAATACCCATTACACCAGGCCCCAGTTCTTAAAAAAAAACAAAAAAACTTAAGTCATTTCCCTGGCTTACTAGGATTTTCATGAGAGTACTGTTACACTGCTCCTGATAGGATAAGATGTGACCATGTAATCTTGGGTAATTAAGTTCTTAGTCAGGAAACCTGGAACCTGACTTGAGTTTTTTTTTTTTTTTTTTTTTTTTTTTTGTGAAACCTGGGCCAGGCTGAAGACAACTGCAATTCATGTTCATGTCAGGGTCACATTTTATGTACTGTATGCCATCAGTGGAATGCTTATTTCACACAGGATTAATAAATAACTTCATGCTGTTTGGCATGCTGCAAAAGGACTCAAATAATTGTCAAAAAAAAAAGGGGGGGGGGGCTAAGTACTGAAACAGGCTGGCTTAATCCAAGTCTTCCTGATGTCACAAAGTTGGTGACAGCCACTGGCCTCCTTAAATTCCTTGTACTTACTGTCTTACCCTTGGATTCAATGTTTTGTACCATTTTTAATAAAATAACGCAGTCCCGAATGTCTGCTCTGTCATTTACATGGCTTACTCTGTGACAGAAAAAAAACTCAAAAATAAACATGTTCCTCAACATTTATTTTCCGTTGTGGCACCAACAGTTTTCCAAGGTTTAACAACTTGAGCACAAGACAGTTCCATGCATAAAGTTAGCCAGGGATAAGAAAACAGAAATAAAAAGGTCAGAAAAATGTACGTCAGTATCCTATAAAACTTCTGGAGTCTTTTTGTCTGCTTATTATTAGAGAATTGTCAAATAAGTATGCATATATACAACTGCACTTTAACTTGGGGGTTTCAGATTATAAGTGGCACAAGTAATAAAATTCTTGGAATATCTTTCAAGATTTAAAAAAGGTTGACTGAAAAAGATATCTGCTCCATTTTTATTTTCAGCTAGGATTGAAAAACTCAAAGGGCTGATACGTAAGACAACAGTGTAACTTCGAAGAAGCTTTGGTTATTTATAAAACACTATTGATTTAATGGTTTACAAGGGAAAAGCACATACCAGTTACAGTATATCTTCCTCTTAATTTTGTGTATGACTTAAACATTTCAATGAAAAATTTTACAGTCCATTAAATTATACTTCAGCAATAAGCAATTAAAAAAAAAAAGTGCAAAAGAAGGATGATACTGATAACAAAAATTACACTTTCAAGATCACTTCAAATGTTGCAGTTAAAATTGCTCACATGTAAGTTATAATTTATTCTATTACAAGCTTACAGGAAAGGTTGCTTTACACAGCTAAGCCAGATTTTATAAAAAAAAATTGCTGGTGTGGATTTTTCCAAGCTTCAGACACCTCTAAACAGTGACATAAAAGTTTTTTTTTTTTCAAAGACAATGACACAGACTTCATAAACAACAAAATGACGATATTTCATTTTTGGCCAAAATTTTAGGAATGAAAATGACTACGTGGAATTGAGTTTTCTATTTGGCATCTTAGGAACATCACATCACAGTCTAGGCTTCCATTAAGTTAAAATTCCATTAATAAATTTTGAGATTCCTATTCTATGATGATAATACAGCTGCATCTTGGAAGTACAGTACAGAGAATTATTTGCTCTCATCCCTAGATGGCCCCATCTGCCAAGATGAACCCCATCCTAGTGTTTGCGGTGATGCTTTCTCTTGTGGTGGTGGTTATTGCGCTCATGTGCTTGCTTCGTGGGAGCAGGTGTGGTCTGAAATTGGTAAAATTCAAATACAAAATGTAAGTCCTTACAAGAAAAATCCACAAATCATGTTGGAGAAATTGTGGAACAATTTGTGGAATACCATTTTTTATCAAATTTTGTACAATTGGTCACAAAATTTGTTTGCACAAAAAATACACAAAAGATAACAAATGCTGTAAGAAAAACCAAATATATTTTAATTTATGAAACTAAAATTACAATAAATTTATTTCACACGACAATAATCCCCCCTCCTTCATACAAGGAAAAACATCTTGGACAAGATCAGCTATACACTGATGCTCATAAGTTAAGCAACACCCCGATTTTTTCAGAAGTTTCTTCTATCATGATCATTATTTCATTTGTTGGTGGGATTATGCATATTTCTTTCATATTTTATAAATAACTTATTCAAATTGAATATTTCGGTTAAAGAAATACACCACACAGCTTATTGTAATAATCAAAATAACTTTATTAACCAAACGATACTAAAATATGCCAAACCATGTGTCAAAAAAGTATGCTCACACAGCAAAAAGTATGTGCTGATTAAAACAGCTTATTATGAAAAAATAAAGTTCGATCATTTAAGAATTAGTTTTAATAAAAGAAGACTGTAGAGAATAGATGATTAATCGTCTATTATGCAATAAATATCGGGTGTGCNAAATTGAATATTTCGGTTAAAGAAATACACCACACAGCTTATTGTAATAATCAAAATGACTTTATTAACCAAACGGTACTAAAATATGCCAAACCATGTGTCAAAAAAGTATGCTCACACAGCAAAAAGTACGTGCTGATTAAAACAGCTTATTATGAAAAAATAAAGTTCGATCATCTAAGAATTAGTTTTAATAAAAGAAGACAGTGGATAATAGATGATTAATCGTCTATTATGCAATAAATATTGGGTGTGCTTTCCCTGGTTTTGAACAACAGCTTCACATTGTCTCCTGCAACTTGCCACTAAATTCTGCCAATCTTGCTTTGAGAGCTGGTTCCATTCTTTATTTACTGCCTGTTGGACCTCTCTAATGTTTCTAACTGGAGGTTGTCTCTCATTTATTGTCCTGTCAATCATATCCTAAGCATGCTCGATTACATTGAGAATTGGTAAATATGCAGGCCAATCCAAATGTGGAATACCGCGCTGTTGCAGCGCGTCTTGCACGGACCATGCTTTCTGGATGGGCGCATTGTCCTGCACCAAAATGATTTTTCTTTCTGGATTTGCTTGAATGTGTGATTGTATGCACCCCAATGTATTTCGTCTCTGTATTGTTGACCAGGGCGCCTCCCTTGAATGACGTATGGTGGCAATTTTTCATTTTTTGGCTGAAACGAACTGGTCCTGGTGGCATAATCGAACCAGATGTCTTCATCTTTTGCGTCGGTTAATATTGGTCTACCAGAAAGAGGCTTGTCCAATACATGCTAAGTTTGGCGCCATTTTGCTACCAGCTTGGACACTTGGCTTGGTGCTGCTTTTTTGTTGCCTTGCAATCTGTCTCTTTGGCACCCCAGCATTATAGCTTCCCATTATTTGCCATCTGATTACCTCGTTGAGTCCTCTTCTAACCACTGGTTGGTCCAAAATAACAAATTGTGCCCATAAAACTAGCCAAACTGGAAGCTCCTCATGGCATGGCTAAACTGTGTTTTTCGCAAGTGGCACCCCCTAAGCATATTCTATCGTGTCCAACAGTAAATAGTACTCTAATGTCACGGTCCAGTAAGTCAAAGTAAAAACAAGAGAAATATCTAACTATTGAACACATTTTGCCTCAATAAAATTTTTGGTTGCTGAGAAATTCGAGAAATAAGAAAGTGTTGCTTAACTTATGAGCATCAGTGTATATATATCATATCATATCACATCATATCAATGAAAACTGCCAATACAAGTAAGCTGGTGTGAACCATCAACTAATGTGTCAGGTCTGGAAAAATCTGAAAAACGAATATACCCCATTTTTGAGAAAGTTTGCCTAACTTATTGCGAAACGTAGGTAACTCAGAAAAAAGTGTAGGCCCCTATATTAATATGAATAATATCCCTCAGAAAATCAAAAGGCGTAGGCTCTATATTAGCCTAACATACTAAATAAGTACACTGTACTATTTGTCGTTAAGCGTTTATTGGTCCAACTTGACAATGATCGCTATCTGAAACAGAAGAGTAAATTACATAAGTCTACATAAATAATAATCCTATACATACATGTCAGATATCCCGTTCTTAGGCACCCGGTTCCTTTTTAGTGGATTGCCGTTCGTTGTGTCACACACAAATTTGTCGTATAATGTTGATATTACAGTACATCGACCGTGTGATGAATTGATGAGGATAGCACTCTTTACCTTCATATTAGTAGAGTTAACATGTAACAAGGCTATTCTGATGAAAATTAATCTTTGTAGTTCGTTAATCATGTTATACGATAGGCCTATATAGGCCTATTGTAGATTATACTTTTCATTTTCTACACCACAGTAGGCCTAAAGCTGTGCCTTACAGTTTTCAGTCACTGCGGTCCGTGACCTTCATCAGTGTAAGGTAAAGCTTTATTGTGGTGTAGAAAATCAAAAGTATAATATATATATATCATAAAACATGATTAACTAACCCCATCCCCTACCCCATAAACGCGTAGGCCTATATAATGTAATGGAATATGATAAATGTTAAGATGATTTTTATAGCTGTCTTGGTTTTAATTTCTTATTTGAGTTTTTGCTATTTATCTTGAAAACTCCAAGAACATCCTTTCTATTTAGGAACAATAGTCGTCGTTCGTTGTTTGAGAAAACCACGGAAAAGATTAAACAGCGATTAAAGCTTGTGCTACCTTGTGGCGCCATCTGGATTGAAAATTGAGAGGCAAAGAAATATGTCTGCGCCCATGCGATAGACGTCCTAAGCGAGTTGACTCCGAACAAAGTGACAATTCTGTCAAAAAGGATGGATTTATTTATTTAAATTCTTTTGTATTGGACCAACTGAGAAAAACTGTTAACATGACCACAATACGACTTCTTACATGTGACGATTTATTCAAGTTCAACAATGTGTAAGTAGTGTCGTGAAAAAATGGCAACGAAAACACTGATAAAAATGGCTGTTCAAAATGACCACGGTTTTAGTACTTTTACTGTTTTGTATTCTTTCCTTGTTGTTGGAATTATTAATAAATGTCACAGAAAAGGTAGCAGTGAATCAAAATTATGATCAAAATAATGAAAATAAAAGATTTACAAGTTGTGGTATTGCATGAAACCTTTCTCCCCTGTAAAATTTCACTGTTATGTGCCATAAAAAAGATATAAAGTGGTTCAAATTGTAGAAAAAATATTTGAGCATCATATTATAGATCTCTTTAATTGTTTTATTTGTTCTCTTTGCAGAAACTTGGACCCTCTGACAGAGACTGTATCCTTCTTTTATAAATTACTAGTATATGCATGTAACATATTGCAAAGCTTACATGGTATGGATGATTTAAATGTTTATGTGAAAACCTTAGTCACCCAATATGTGTATATATATATATATATATATATATATATATATATATAGAGAGAGAGAGAGAGAGAGAGAGAGAGAGAGAGAGAGGGAGGCTCTTCACTAGTTTTCCTTCTGTATGGCCGCATTCACATCAATTTGAGCCATGGCTCTACAAAGCCACGACCTAAATATGGCAGACGTACATGAAACGAAAACTGCCTAATCTTTTAATGGTCTCTCCGCCTCCCAATGGAGCCGAGATTTAATGACTGTACCCCCGCAGGGACGACGTATGGGGAGGTTTGTGAGACCTGATGTTAGACCTGAAGCATGAGGAGTGAACTATTTTACTTATATAAATAGGGTGATTTTAATTAGAATGTAAGCAATATTTGTGAAATGGAACAAGACAATTACCAAAATGCATTTATTTGTTTAAATTTGTCAGGATGACCAACTCGGACAAATTTGCCTTTCTTCAAGTGTTTTTCCTTATCAAATGACACAGTATGGTCTCCCATTCTACATGCAGTATATGGCTCATTGGCCAGAGTACTTTCAGGTGGCTGAGTCACCCAATGGAGAAATCATGGGTTACAGTAAGTTGAATTTATGTCTTTGACATATCTGGTCAGCCATGTTTTTTTTATTGGTTATATTGTGGAATGCTAATCTGTTTTATATTGTTTTATTTTATATTACCAAAATATAATTCAAATAGATGTCTATGTATTTACATTTTCTGATTGCCAGTGGAAATGGGTTTTATTGGGATGTTATTTTAATGTATGCAAAAATTAAATTTTTACTGGAAAATAAAAGTATTAAATTAAAGCAGATGGGTAAATGAGATCAAGTTATATCTTTATATCCTAAGTATGAAGTGCATTCACCTTTCATAAAATTTTTATCATGTAGAGAGGATTTCCCAAATGATTTCCACTGTGTATGAAATTTTTCACTTATTTCATCAGATAAAATCATAATGATTTCTCTTTATAGTTATGGGTAAATCTGAAGGAAGAGCAGATAACTGGCATGGCCATGTGACAGCCCTCACAGTAGCACCAGAATACAGAAGACTGGGGTTGGCAGAAAAACTGATGAATATTTTGGAAGATGTTTCAGAGAAGTACGCTGTTCATCTTCTTTTTTTCTGGGGGATTGGAATATTATACTTTTATGTGGATTCAGTCTTTTTAAATGGAAATTGTACAGAAAACAGCATTTGTGACTGTCTTCTTTACTTATAGCACATTAAAGTAATTATATTTTGTACCATTTTCTATCCCATTTGGTTCTGAAATAACCTTGTTCAGTCCTTAGACCCCATTCCCAGAGATTAGATCGATCTACTTTAGGTCGACCTAACTCCCTGGGGGTTCACGCTAAATAGCTGTCAGCCGAGCGGGCACGAAAGTTAATTACCCCCTTACAGCTTGTAGTAGGCGGGACGGACATTTAAGCTGGATTATCTGACAGTAATCTAGTGAGACTCCCCACGGGGATAGATCAATCTAAAAGCTCTGGGAATACGCCCTTAGACACCTGTTTTAGAAGTCATTCTGCACAGAATTTGAGTACTCGGTACAAGTTGGTAAACTTCTTAGTTTTCTTTTATCGTTTTCAGAAAGATGTGTTACTTCGTGGACCTGTTTGTGCGGGTGTCTAATAAGGTAGCAGTTGGAATGTATGAAAAGCTGGGATACAGTGTATACAGGCAGGTGATAGAGTATTATTCTGGAGAAGTGGATGAAGATGCATTTGGTGAGTTATACATTGTTTTATTATCTTGTTGAGAAGGATCTCAAGTTACAAAAATTCTTGAGTCACAAAAATTGATTGGCCAGACATGCTGAAACTGTCGGTCGATCGGTCGTGACCGGGAAATTTTGTCTGGACCTGTAAAAAATTGGCCTTGATCGGTCCAAAGGACCAACAAGAGTTTTAAGAGCCGCAATTTTGAATTTACAGTCATCATTCGACATACTTCACTAATAAAATTATATAGAACCCAAAGGGTTTTTTTCCATTCCATTTCAAATATATCACATTCACAAAGTAAGCCACCTCAATCGTACTGATAGTGTCTGTCTCAAACCAATAGGGTGATTTTTGGTCCAACAAATATCCATTCGGTCCAGCAAGTTTTTCATTACTGCCAGTCCAAATGTCCGGCCATTCTAAAAAGTTTTCAGCATATCTGTTGGCAGAAACAGTTTTGTGTGAAAGGTTGTTTGTTAGGTTGAAATTGGTGGGTAGGATGGTATGATTATAAACTAATAATTCTTATAAAATTTGGGAACTTTGGGAACTTATAAATTTTATATACAACAGTGTATTTCACTTGGAAACTTCTAAGTGAAAAAAAAAAACCTGTTAAAAAAATCTACAATAATAACAATTGGTTATGCTATGAGCAAAAATGTTCATTAGCTTGGTAGTTGGACCATATATGATAATTATCAAACAGTGAGTAACAACATCTACCCACACCAGTCTGATGAAGGCCTTTGTCCATGTTGGCTGTAAGCTAACAGTATGAAAGTATTTTGGCTTATGTTTGATAATTATCATATATGAATTGGTTACTATGTTACATTTTTTGTATACTGAAGTATATACTTGTGTTGGAATTATGAAGAATTGATCTCTTGAAACATCACATGTTCATTGTTTATAACTTTACATGTAGGTTACTCTGTTTATTCACAACTGTCACAATCCGTCCCTACATAATAACACAAATGGTCCCTAGAAAATAAAATCATCACTCTTTGCTAGATTTGATTGAAAACAGTAAATAAAAGTTATCATATTTGGATTTTTCCTTTGTATAGGAAATCAGTATGATTCAAATAATAAATGGGATTTGGTAGATGTACATTTATGTATATACTGTAATATATTTGTATGCGTCATTTCATAAAAATCACATCAGTGGTTAGAAATTAAAAAAAAACACTGAAAATAAAAATTAGTACAAAGTGATTAGAATTTATTTTTTATTTATATAATATCAGTATTCAGTAGAATTTTTATTTAATTTCAATTTTAATACTTGTGGCCTCTTGTATAGTTGATGGCAGTTTATTCCAAAGCTTTTGAGCATATATTTCAAGTCCCTGACTCTCATAGATTGTCAGATGGTGCTTTTTTGGTAGCCCATACAGGTTGAAGTTTGTGTATTATATAGTAGATATGAAAAGACTTGTTTTCTTTTAGAGCTGTTAAAATAATACATGGAATTTTTTGAGTGGCAGGCAGTGAAGATCTTTTAAAACTTGTGTCATGTGTACACAAACTTGTGTCATGTGTATGAAGCATAGTGATGAATTGTGTAAAAAGCAACAGAGAGACCTGAAAAGTACAAGGCATGGCTTCTCTCTCCTTGTCACAGGAAAGCATTATGCATATTTAAGAAAACAGTTCCAGTGCTCTGCCTGTCAACATAGGTAGACTTTAATGAACCATAAAATAAATGAGAGGATAGGTGGTAAATTAACCAAAGAATGCCATCTTTTTAAGGAATTTACTCAAAAATAAGCTGTTTGTTATTGGTCTGTTGTTTTTCAATAAATTTCTTACTAAGGCTCTATTCCCATAGATTTTAGATCGATCTATCCCCGCGGGGAGTCTCACTTGATTACTTTCAGATAATCCGACTTAAATGTCCGTCCCGCATACTACAAGCTTTAAGAGGGTAATTAACTTTCGTGTCCGCCCGGCTGACAGCTATTTAGCGTGAACCCCTAGGGAGTTAGGTCGATCTAAAGTAGGTCGATCTAATCTATGGAAATGGGGTGTAAGACACATTATATGTATATGAGAAACCCTTGGTTGGATTTGTTGTTGCTGAACTTTTGAGTGAAGAAAAAAAAAAACTATTTCCAAGTATACAGAAATGGGAAAGTAACTTAATGTTTTTCACGGCCATTAGGTGGCAGCACCATCCACAGAAAGGTCACCTTTTGAATAGGTTGTATCGATGTACCCATTTTTCATTGCAGACATGAGGAAGGCACTGTCCAGAGATGTCGAGAAGAAGTCAGTCATTCCCATTCCACATCCTGTGCGTCCAGAAGAGCTTGACTGACCATAGTCCCTAGTGAGCAGTGTTAATAACTAACCTTACTTTGTAGTGGATTTCTTTGAATATGACAAATACATGTATTGCCATTTTTACATTTGACAAATTATTGGTAGAATTAAGACGATTATGCTAGTGTTTGAAAAATTATTTTATTTGAAAAATTGCTGGCCTGATAAATGTAAGTGAAGAAACAGTTTGTAACTTCCTGAAGCTGCCATACATAACATTGCGAACAATGAAATGTTTACTCAAGTTGTTTGCATTGAGCATAAGTCTAATTTATTGAAAGCTATATTTTTTAATGTTGTTGCAATTGTCCAAGTGACGTAGATTATACTGCAGTAGCCGTGTCTGGCCAACAAATAGATGAAAACAGCAGGCTAACTTGCCTTATTACTTTCACCTTTGTAAATAGCTTGATTTGCAAGCTTGGTCATTATTTATTTGGTGAATAGAGTCCAAGGTGAGAAAACTTGGCAGTAAACACCAAGTAGCAGCTGACAGAAGGAAACATCAATCATTCTAGGTAATTTGGAGGCAAGTTACAATGAAATATGGGCCTCATTTCCTGGTGACTTTTTTCCACTTAGACTTTACTTAAACGATTTTTTTATCCATTTGAAAGCATACCTTTGCAACTTTGTTTAGTGTAAGTTTTGTGTATGAAGTACCACTTTTGTGTTGTATTCAATTAGCATGATAGCATGATGTAATAAATTTAAAACATTTTTGGACTTGGTATTTATCCATTAGTGGAACGTTAAGTAAATTTAGAAATGTTTTGTGGTTATGTTTGACTTGCTCACTAGGGAAATTAACATTTTTTTCTGAAACCCCAACCTATTTCAATAAAGTTGTTTTAGTAAATCTTCTTTGTGTTATTTGGAGAAGGAACACAAATGGAATGGAGTATTGCAATTATTTGATCATACTTTGTGAGAGAGCCTTCTGAGTTGGACTTTACAATTTTACAAAGAATATTGATTGCTCTTGTCCCAAATTCATGTGCCTGATAAAATGAACAAAAATTTATTTCAACATTAATCAAGTTCACAAATTTCTCTCATTCTCAGTTTGTTAGCAACAACAAATCCACCAGAAGTTTTCATTGTAAGATCACTGTGAATTCCCACATTTGGTCCCCCAGTGAAAGCATCATTGTCTGCAACAAAATGACTTAAGTTTCCTTGCCAAACACTTGCTTTCTTAATTGGCATAGAAAATATAGGAGAGAGAGTTCATTAGCCCGTCTTCTTCAACTGTGACAGATATTCTTTGTCTTAACCATCACTGAACAGTTTGAGCTTCCTGTTAGTTTTGTTTATGGTTATACAAGATGGGTTTTGTTTTGTGACATAAAAGGGAAAAGGAGTATTGAGATAATCTGGCAACAACCCAGTGCATCTGTTACTGTAAAGTATCCCACTGTCCAGAATGGTGTGCGGCATAAAAGAAAAAAAATTGCTTCTAAATTCACGGCAGTAAAATGTCTGGAATAAATAGCCTGCTTACAAACTAGAGCCCTCTCCCACCCACATGTACTCAGCTATGGGTTCTGCACCTGTTTTACAACACATGCCGATGGATTTCTCAGACTCCGACAACAGATAAAAAGAACAGTGGAAGAGTGAAAACTTTGCAAACCCTGTCTCTTTAGGATTGTTTGGCTGAACAATTTCAAAGGAAAAAATTAGAAACTAAGTTTGAACTTAAGGGTGTACATGTAGGTGTGTGATTGGATCCCCACCCACACACCACATAATTTGTTTTTTAATCCCAGAATTAAGTGAGCAACAAGTACAATTACAGGCTTAGATATGTACCAAGGGTGGATGGTGGTGATAAAACATCTAAGATTGTCCATTATGATATTTAGCATGCTTTGATTTTTTTTTCAGATCAAAGTAGAACAAGCATTCCTAATTTTAAAATTAGAAAAATAAAGATATTTTTTAAGAAAGAAAATGTCAACATAAAATCTAAACATGAGGTTTACAAGAACAAGTATGGTAGCAGCAGAATACATTTAGCTTTATTTGCTTCTTTCGGAGTTTTGCAACTCTCTTTACTTATAATGGCAATGGGATATTGATTTCTCTCTTTAGTTCATGAACTTAAACATATTGGAAATTTAACAAGTCAAAAAAAAAAAAAAAAAATGCATGGAGTGACAGCTCATATCTTTACTAATGCAAGAATAAAAAGATTGCATGCTTTCTTCAGTACAAAGTTATGCAGCTTATTTTAATTTTACTTCAAAATTTTGTAAAATACAAAAAATTATATGGGTGGCTGCAACATTTTGGTCCATTTTTTTCAAGTCTGTCTTATACATATTACTTTATAATTTACAATTAAAAATGTTTCTGTTCTATACTTAACTTTCTAATTTTTTGCAGTAGTTAAATATCCTTATTCTCACAAACACAATAAGTACAATCCTAATGTAGCAAAGAAATAAATACTGACAACATTTTTACAAATGAGATCTCGCTGGCTTTGTGAAGCTTATCAGAAATTTGCCAGCCCATCTTCAGTAACTTATGTAAATGGGCCTGATAAATGATGGGCTAATCAGGCCTAATCACCATCATAATTTGTCTCCTTATGCTAAGTGTGCTCTTGGCATGATCTGATGGATTACAGTAAGATGGGAGAACACCTTCCTGACATGTCCTCCTGTTTGTATGCACCATCAAAAGACAGATACACCAGATAACAACGGCTGCTTGCTATCTGGCATAAACATGGCTGAATGATTTCACAATCTCCAGGCTAGGGTATCTTGTCCCCGATGAGTCCAAATTATCGTTGCATCTTCTTTTAAATCTCGCGTCTGTTATTGTTTTCTCCCCCTTGGTAGTTTCCCCTTATTTCATTGCCAATTCAGCCAGGGACAAGAGTCCTAGATCGTTTTTGGTACAAAAGACAGTCTGTCTGTCTGTCTGATAGTAAAAATAGACTTCTTGGCTGTCTAACAATATTGGCACTATGTTTTACATTCAAAACAGCCATGCATCTTTCGAGTAAAGATGTAAAAATACTGCAACCAATAGCTGACTGTACCAGACAATTACACTGTATGTACTCGTTGCCTCAACTTTACTTTTTATCAAAGACTGATATCAGCTAAGCCAGAATATAGTATAATAAAATTATTTTCATAAATAGATAATGATAATGCTAACAGGCAACTGGTATACAAATTACAAAATACAATTATGTACAGTTATCACAAAAGACATGTAGCAGTTGCTTCTTTTGCAGCAGTTTTTAAATATTTACAAAAAAAAAAAAAAAAAAAAAATCTGTATGACATAATGATAGGAAGATACCACAGTCATCAAAGTTTGAAAGAGATAAACCAACGGATCATCCATGAGTTTACCTTTACATTCAGCATTTTTATTTACTTTGGATGGGTAGGTGTTAGTATGGCACTGGATAAAATCTACTTCACTTGCCAATATTTTTCTGTAAAAATAAAACGTGGACTACAAAATTGGCATATTTCATTGAAACTGCTGGGATATCACTGTGTTTGCTTCTGAACATTTTAGGCTGTCATAGTCTGTGCAAGTCTGCACCATGAAAGAACTGAGCCAAAGGTATTCATATGAATAATAGGAAAATTGATTACATTACTTGATTTAGAGAAAAAAGTGAGAACAGTAAGTGGTGTTTACAACAGGATTTACTTAGACCAGAAATAATCCAATTGACTCTTCTAGATTAAACAGGGGCTTTCTTGGCACATCACATTTTGTTCAGATGTTTAAGATCTTCATTTTAGTAACAAAATTCAGACCATATCTAGTTTTTCAAGTTATTTTTTTAAATCCAATGTTAAGCATTTTAGTAACATCAATCAGACTAATTCAGGCTTAAGTAAGGTAAGTTCTGTACACAGGGAGTCTACATTTATATGAAAAAGGGCACCTTGCATGATTAAAGCAGTTAAGAGGGATATCTGACAACAGGCTGTGCATATATCTGATATACTATGGCATATATTGGAGAATAACATATTTATACCCACTTTTATACAATAAAGAAATTTTGACATTTCTTCTTGAAGCATTGAGATAAAGAATAGTTAGTTGGTAAAATTTGTCTGGCACCAGTTAAAAAAGAAAAAAAAATGATTAACCGGAGTTTTAAAACAGGCATTTCAGCTGAGTCAAAATAAATCTCTGTTCAATTTAGAGTTTAGTGTGATTTTAGTATGAATATAATCCCCTAAAGAACTTCAAAACTCTTAAGCAAGTGAGTAAAAGTATATAAATTAGGGCCCTAATACTAAATGAATACTGCTTCATAATTCTAAATACAATTTGTATAATCACAATAAATCTTCTCAAAAAATCTAATAAGCAATGTCAAAGAGAACTTAATATGGAAAATAAATTACATAGGTACTATAATTGAATGCTTTCAGTGAAAGTAAAAGCAAACAAACTTCATAGCTACGACATTTTTTAAAACTCTTAAACTCCTCCTTTGTCATACAGCACAATAGCTTCTTCTTAATCCTTTAATTTGTCATTGGCACAGAGAGCAAAAAACAGCTAGGCAGTGGCATGTTAATGTTTTAAAAAAATTCAACAGGACAGATTCAAAATGTCGAGAATCTTCTGTGGTTTCTTCGTAATCTTCGATTCTTTTGTTCTTTTTCCTTCCTTCTTTGTCTCCTACGATCCCGACGCTCTTTGCGTGATAGTTTTTTGTTCTTTTTGTCACCAAGAAGCTGGCTATTGTCTTGTTTATTATGTTTAAGCAGTTCTGATTTTTTACATGGTCCTTTGTGAGCTACCCTTATCCTTTTGCCCGAATTGCATTCTTGGACACGGAGGTGACAACGTGATGCATAACTGACCCCATCGCGACCACAAACGTCCTTCTTTCTGCGCTTCATCTTACAAATGGCAAGACTAGGACAGCGACAAACAGGCAAACCCTGGATATTAAGAAGACATACCTTCCCACGGGGACAAGTTATCTGCAAGCAAGGATCATCTGAAGAGAAATAGAATGGATGGCTATATATCTTTATTGAAAAT